AAAGAAAAAGAAAGAAAAAGAAAGAAAAAGAAAGAAAAAGAAAGAAAAAGAAAGAAAAAGAAAGAAAAAGAAAGAAAAAGAAAGAAAAAGAAAGAAAAAGAAAGAAAAAGAAAGAAAAAGAAAGAAAAAGAAAGAAAAAGAAAGAAAAAGAAAGAAAAAGAAAGAAAAAGAAAGAAAGAAAGAAAGAATAAAATCAAATTATTGTCCTTCAAACAGGCCCTTATCAGTTTTCTGCCCATTTTTATGTCAGGAAATGGGCTCAACCACCACATCTAATCAAAATACTTAAATAAAATGCCCATTTTTTTCTCCAAGAGTTGTAACAGAGCTTAGTTTATTTATGGAAAGACCCATGGAGAGGGGTTAAATCAATTAATTTCCCAATGACTATGAAGGGAACATGAGGAGCACATTTGGATGGACCCATCTACCTTGTAGATATTATTATAACCTAAAACCCCATTCCTTGTGCTGGTTCAGGGCTGAATCCATCTTAAATACATCTCTGCCTCCCCCATTCATCAACCAAATCTGACAAGGTTTATTTGAGTGAGGAAAGTCCTTAAAATTGAGATAAGCCAAGTCTACCTCTCATGTCCAGAGAAATCCTGTGAGGGGGGAGAAATTTGCTGCTGGTCCCGAAGAAAATGTGTGCAGGGGAGATAAGAGCTGGCACTGAAGGGCCTAAAATCCATCCTTCGGAAACTGGGGCTTTGCATGCAAAAAAGGGTTTGCCTGCGCTAAAGGGCCCTGGAAATGAGTAATAAAGCCAAAAATGGTTGAATAAACCATGCTGTAATAGTTGAAAATGAACAGGTTGCTTCATTTCCTTGTGCTCATTTCCTCAACAAATTTGCAGAAAGGGGGATTAAAGCAGCAGGGGGATAAGTAAAAGCGAGGAAAAGGTAAGAAAATCATCCTTAAATGAAGATAAAAGCAGGAGCCATCCTGTTTCTCACCCAGATTTCCCCAGATGGGTTGTTATGAGCAAATACAACCATGACCCTCCACTGCAAAACACCATGAAATCTGAAACAGAGACCCTGAGGTCAAAGCAAGGGCAAATCCACTTTCCTTCTTGTGTTGATGTGATGGAGAGAAAGCTCAAAATCCCCTTTTGCCCCCCAAAAGACAGCAAGTTGATGTAACCACCTATCAGCACTGTGAGTTCCCCCCGTATCAAACCTTTTTGGTGTTTTCCTTGGTGTCACCGGTGCTGTTTTCGGGTTGCTTTTTCTCCACTGGCTGCTTCTCCACTGGGTTTGTTTCCACTTGGCATTTTTTTCTCCTCTCTCTGGCACAGGCTCAGCCAAAGCTCGGTCCTGTCTCTGCCTCTGCCAGTTTTTATCGGTCAAGAAGGGAGGAGCCCTCTAATCTCTCACCTGCATATGGGGCCATGACGTGGTTTGACACTTCCTGCACCCTCTGATTGCACCTTTTTCCCCCATTTCAGGGCCATTTACTTTCAAGCATTGGAGAGGGAAGGGAGGAAAATTAAGACAGCGCAAAAAATATGCATTATTGCACGTCACCACTAGGAAGAAATTGGTTAAATTTTGCCCCCTAGCGGCCCAAATCTGGCTGTGGCCCCTTCTGCACAATGGAGCTGAACAAGGCAAAGCAGGGACAAGGCTGACAGCAGATTCCAGGTGAGGGATGAGACAGCAATGCCTAGAAATGAGACAACTTGGGAGAGATAAAACATGTTTAAAGAGAACTGTGAGTGAGGAAATTTGCTTTTCCCACTGGGGCAGGTTGTGCTGGGAGCTGAGCGCAGGAACACCCGAGGGTGGTTCTATGGCAGGCAGCTTCACCCTGTGCCACTGCCAACCCCCAGCATTCCTTTCTCCTCACGGGAGGGCAGCGTGGCCACAGCAGTGGCACAAAACTGGCATGCTGAGACCAGCCACAACTTCCTCTCTCGATGTTGAAGAGGCAAAAACCCCTCAGGGTTGCATGGGTGCTGGAGGCAATGGGTGAACCGCCACAGATTGTGGTCATGAAGATTTTTGGGGGACCTGCGAGGTGAGATCAGCTTCCTAAGACCCATCAGGCTTTGCTCCCTCCCTTCCCCCCCCCCCCCTCCCCCCCCAAAAATGGTGCAAAATGCAAATAGTTTAATTTCTTGGTGGGAAAGCAAAGCTCCAGTGCCTGGTTCTGGTTGTAGGAGAAACATAAAGCAAGTTGATCCCTGCTCTCCAGAGAAGGCAGCAAGGAGCCATTTTTGGAAGATTATTTGCTTTCCTCCCCCAAATAAATTAAGATTTTAAAGGCAGAATTATACAAATGATCTGGGCTGATCACTTACATTTTTAAAATAATTTTTTATTTTTATTTTTTTATATATTCGGGAGAAAATCCAGTCTCACCTGCTATCCCTAAGGAAAGTGTTGGCAGAGTTTCTAGACTGGAGAGTGAAGGCAGAGTTTCTAGACTGGAGAGTGAGCAAAGAGAAGCAGCATCGGGACTAGCTGGTACAGGGGGCCCCTTGGTGTTTTGACAGTTCAAATGGGTATTTATTTTTCCCCAAAACTCTCTGGAAGGGGGATCATCCATGAGGTATCTCGGTGCCCTGCAAAGTCTCAAACCCGGTTGGAGTGGTTGGTGCAGCTCCTGGGCAGGTTTGACCACCTCCATGTGCAGGTGCTTATTATCAACACTTTTAATCACTGCATTTTCATGGCATTGCTCATTTTCATCCCAGACTGCTTCCTAAAGGGACATTTGTTAATACAGAATTAACCCTCACCCATGCTTTCCAGAGCCTGATGTGGTTTTGGACAGAATATAAACAGGGAAGGGGAAAGAAGGAAAAGCATGGGGTGAAGTACTTAATTATGCTGCAGTCGCTAATTAGCCACATCCTCAGCTCTGCCCCAGTGTCACAGCCCCCCTGGCTCCAGCCAAAGTGCTTTTGTCCTTTAGCTTGAAAGGGGAAGTTCAGGGCTGGGGTTACACAGGGGTTTTCTGTCTCATCCAGGAGATGAGCAAGGCTGAGCGGCTCTGCATTGAGGCCAAGTTCGAGTGGCTGTGCCAGCTGCTGGTGGAGCAGGAGCACGTGGTCCTGGGGCAGGTGGTGGAGCTGAATGACTCCTTCACAGCCGCCCAGGCCAAAAAATCATCGCAGGTGGCTGAGGGGATCACATAGCTCCATGGGCTCATGGGGCAGCTGGAAGCCAAGTGCTTGCCCCAGGTGAGAGCCCTCCTTACCCAAAAGCCTTTCCAAAGCGCTGCCTACGAGATCCTTAATCACCCCCCCCCCCCCCCCCCCCCCCTTTTTATTTTTAGGATGTTGGGAGCATCGTAAGCAGGTATGTGGAAACTGGTCACTTTCCTCCCTTGTCACCCCACCTGTGGAGAGGGGTTCAAATATCCCTCGCATGCCATCCATCCCTGTCATTTATCTTCCCAGCTGTAGTGAAATGAGGCTTCACTTCCCCTCTGGGCTCCCCATGGATCTTGAGAAAAGCCTGAGCTCCTGCTGCCACCAGTGGAATGCTCTGTGAGAGGACCTGGAGGAGTTCAGAGGTATTTGGGGAGAGTTCTGGTATTTTAGGAGAATTTGGAGGCATTTTGGGAGGAATGCAGAGGTATTTGGGATAATTCAGTTATTTTTGTCATAACTCAGAGATGTTGGGGGGAAACTCAGAATTATTTTGGAAGGAATTCAGTTGTAGTTTGGGATAATTCAGTTATCTGGGGAGAAGCCAGAAGGAAGAGGAGGTTGTCCAAGGGGAGGCAGCAGCAGGCTCAGCACCCACTCGCCGCTCATGTCCTTCCCTCCTCCCAGGCACAGGTGCCTGCATGAGTCTCCCTGCAGTGAAGGCAACCCTGGAGCCTGGCATGGGTCCTCTCCCACAGCTCTTGGCAGACAGAAAAAGCATGTGGTGGGATGAGGAGAAGAAGCAGGATGAGGCTGGAGAGGCCCAGCAAGGCCAGGAGCCAGCTGGCAGCTGACAGGGGTCTCTGCGGGGAGATGCAGGACACAGACACAGTAGCTGGACTCTGCAAGATGCTGCCACAACCCAGAGCCCGGGGTGCTGCCCGTGTTCCCCAGGACACAAATGGCTTTCTGTCGAGCTTCCCTCCCAGCTCAGATCTTGTCACAGGACAAGATCTGTTCTGCCCCAAATTTACTGCCAGCAGTTACTCTGCTGCTTTAACTAGTGAGCGGTCTTGCGCTGCTGCTCAACATGAAGGTCGTGAAGTAAAAAAATAGGAAAAAACCTCCAGAATTTTTTTTTTGTGTGCATAGGATAGATATTACGGTATTTATTGCTTCTGCAGGCTAGGGAGACAGCAGCAGGCTAGCGAGAGGCAGCGGGATACACAGGTCCGGGTCCTTGGGTGGCGAGTGGCGGACCTATCCCGGTGCCTAAGTGCTCGGACGACTTGACTGCTCCTCCCCGTCGCTGGAAGCCGCTTTCCCGGCTCTGGCTGTCACCGCTCAGCTCCGGCGCAGTGCCGCGGGGAGTCACCGCTTGTCGCGCAGGGGGTGTTGTGGGATGGGGAGGATCGATCCCGGCCGCGCCTCGCCCGCCCCACGGTGCGGCTTTTAGATGCGGGGCAGTGGCCACCCCCCGCTGCGGCTCTTTATTTCTGTTTATTTTATTCTGTTCTATATATTGTATTCGCCCTCCTCTCTGTGCAGCCCTTCCGGCGACACCTGACAGCGGCCGTCCCGCGATGCAGGTCTTTCAGTGACACGAGGCGACAAGTCACTCCCTGGCGCGGCTTTCAGAGACTCGCGGGAGCAGCCACACCTCAGTGCAGCCCCGCCACCACCGGCTGCGCGTCTGCTCCAGGGTGGCTTTCCTGCGGCATCGGTGGCTGGTGGCTTCCATCCACCAAGAAGGAAACAAACCCAGCTACAACGCTACAAATTGCCGCAGGAAGTGAAGCGGTTGGAGTGCACATGGGCACCGAGGCGCTGCGGCTCCAAGAGCTGTTTTATTAGCCCCTCCCCCGCACTCCCCTTAATTAAGGTAGAAAGAGCGGTTTGCTTTTATGTGCATGCAGAGAGATAGCAAAAATGTACAAAAATAACAATTTCTGGGGAAAATATTTATATCTAGCACAGCCCTGGCTTCTCCTCCTGCTGCAGAAGCCTTGTGTAGGCTGAGATTCCTCTTAATAAAAGGACAGTAAGTGCCTGAAATAATTAAGAGTTAATTAAGCATAAAGTTGGTCTCCCGTTAACTAATTTTTCAGGCGTTTCCTAGAAAAAAATACTTTAAAAAAAAAGGAAGAGAGGATTTTAGGGGATCTTTCCCTTCCTTTCTGCCCCGAGATACCAAACTTTGAATTTATTTGGTCCCGGTTTCTCATGTTTTGTCCTGTCCCGTTCTGTCGTGCTCTGCCCCATTGCACCTCAAAGTGTGTTTTATCAGCCTTATTCATAACTATAATAATTCCTGATTAGTATTTTTGAAATTATTTTTACGTGGGTTTTGTTATTTCTACAATTCTATACTAAAATTTGCAATTACAGTTAAACATATTATATGTAATTACATTTTTATATATTATATAAAATATATTGAAACATAGTTAACATTTTTATTATAGTTAAAATATATAAAACTATATTTATATATCATATGCTTGATTATATATATTTAACATACTTTTATTATTCTATAGAAATGAAACTTTCAGGTCCAAGACCCTCGTTTGGTTCGGTGTCTGATTAATTTTATTGCAAAACTTCATTAACTCCTTCATACTCCCTCCTGGAATTTCTGCTCTAACACCACCTACCCCCACAGATCCTGAACCTAGTAGTTCTTTTCTTCCCCCCCCTTTGTTTCTTATTTTTGCCATGCAATTTGGGTGCTGAGGACAAGGGTGGGTTTTTATTTCACCCTAACACCCCCCCGCCCCTCGTTCCCAGTTGATATCCACATGAGCTCCATGGACCTCTGCTCACTTGCCACATTCCTGCTTTAATCCATGTTTCCTACAGCCACCCTCTGGCCGCACTTTGCTTCGCCCGCTGCAGCCGGAGTGGCAAAAATTCGCCTTGTTAATAACTCATCCCTCCTAACGCCCTCCCACTCCGCCTCCGCTGTCGCCGCCGGTGTTCGCTTCTGTCCTTGAATCCTTGCTGGCCTTGGCCTTGGAGGCGGTTTCGTCACTGGGCCAGTGGAAAAATCGGGTCAGCCCTACGTCGCTTTCGCCTGGCAGGTCCCGGATGCCAACACCAGGGTCCCGCCCCGTCGCCACTTCCAGGAAAACCCTGGCCAGGCCCCTTTTTGTGCGCACTTCTCCGAGTGCCCTTTAAAAACAACCATGGCTGCGGGAAATGCCATAAGATACCTCCAGGAGGAAACTACCTGCGCCGTCTGCCTGGACTTCTTCCACGACCCTGTCATGATCCTCAGCTGCGGCCACAATTTTTGCCGCCGTTGTCTCGATTGTTGCTCGGTGGATGCCGCCGGCGGTGGTTCCTGCCCGCAGTGCCGGGTCTCTTTCCCGCACGGCGGCTTCCGTCCCAACCGGCAGCTGGCCAACGTGGTGGCTGCCGTCCAGGAGCTGGACACGCCGGCGGCTCAGGAGCTTTGCCGGAGGCACCAACAACCCCTCACTCTTTTTAGTCACCGGGATGGAATCCTCGTCTGCGCTGCTTGCGCTGAGCATCGCGCTGAGCCCGCTGTGCCCCTCGAAGAGGCCGCTCGCTGGTACAGGGTGAGCGAATCCCTGTCTCAGACACTCTCTCCCTGCCTGAGAGACGCTAAAACCCCAGTTTCCCTTAAAGCTCTTCCCCCAAAATATGTATTTTGAGATGGGGCAAAGCTTTTCTCCATCTTTCCAGGAGAAAAATATTATGAGCATCCAAAAGTCAAAACTGAGCTGTAATGCTGCAATTTGCTGAGGGTTAAGTATGAAACAGGGCAGGAGTGTGGCAGTTTTGGAACCAAAACTAAATATTGGTGAATTCAAGCTGCTGCTGTCAGCCAGTGCCTTTGCTGTGGAGGATTCCTGTTCTGCTTCCGGGTGTGGAGGAGAAATGGGGGTCCCCAAGGGGGGGTTCGGACTTGGCTGGGTGTGCAAGGAGGGGGGAACGGGGGAATGGGAACTGAAGGGTGGTGGCAACTTTTTTACAGGAGAACTTGGAAAGGTAGGATTTCCCAGCCTGGCTGGAAGGACTGTAATGCCCATTTATCAGTATATATTTACATACCTTTACAGATGAGGCAAGACTATACATAGAGCATACCTATAAAATTAATTATAACATGGATATGCATGAACATATCTGCTTCAGTGCAGCTGGAGAGGAGGATGAGGAATGGACCACCTGCTTCGGCCATATTGCAGGTGCTTTAGGGGTCCCAGCTTCGCCTTATCCCCCTCCTCCAGGAGCCCAAACCCCTTTTTCCCGGTTGCAGAAGCAATTTGAAGATTCCCTAAAAAGCCTGCAAGAGGAGTATGAGCGACATGCCAGTCTCAGTGAGGCAGCGAAGGAGACAAGACAGGAGATGCTGGTGAGTGCTGCTGCAGTTAAGGTGCACTGTGGGGGCCAAAGTGCTTCATTCCCCACTCCAGCAGCATCCTTCTTCTCCTTCATCCCCTAGACTCGAGTCAGTGCTGAGAAGCAGAAGCTGCTGGTGATGCTGGAAGAGCTCCGGCGGGTTTTGACTGAGCAGGAGTCGCGTTTCCTTGCCCGGTTCCGTCGCCTGTGCTGGAGGCTGGAGGAACAGCAACGTGGTGAAGCTGCCAAGATAACCTGGATCCGGCAACACCGCGCTGAGCTCCAGGCCAAGTGCCAGCAACCGGATGTTGATCTGCTACGGGTGAGCCAAAACTGTCCCCACAAATCCCTCTGTTCGCCCCCACCCCTTGGCTTCTATTCCCAGGAAAACAGCCCTAAGCATCTCTCTCCCTTCCTCTTCAGGATGCCCAAACCACCCTGAGCAGGTACTGGGGCCAAAAAGCATCACCAGGAACACCAGTTTTGGGCCAAAATCCTCCACTTTTGGGATCTCCTCCTCACCCTGCATTCTTTTCCTCTGAGATTTTTGCTTTTGAGCTGGAGGGGGTTGGTGGTTAATCCAGAACTTGGCGAAGATGGGGGAATCTACCATCACATCTTGCAGGAGCTGGACCCTTGCCCAGGGAAAAAAAGATGTCCCTGTGGTTTTCCAGTGGTGGGGAAAGGAAATTTTGGGATTTCTTGGCATTAAACACCCCAATTTCCCCCCCTTGAGGTGCACAGAGAGGAAGGTGCAGCCGTCGCTGCTGTTGATGCCAGAGCTGGAAGCAGAGCTTGAGGATGTTACCCGGAAAACCAACATGCTGGCAGAGGCAGTGACACAGTTTAAAGGTGCTTGTAGAGGAAAAATTGGCAAAAAAGGGGATTTATAAAGCAGAAATGGGAACCTAGGGTGGGACTGGGAGGAAAGAGAACCCCAGGGTTGCCAAATTCAGCTGGACAGTGAAAGCGTCATTTTAAATCCTCCTTTATTTAAAAGAAAATCAAGGATTTATTCTTTTTATAGCAGCCTTAAGGCATAGGAAACTGGTGGTGGGAGATGCAGAGGGCTGTTGGTGGTTAATTGGCACCCAAATTAGGGCATTAATTATGTGTGGAGGTGGGTGATGCCCCAAATGAAGGGGGTTATATCTCCGACCTCTGGTGGTCTTGCCTTCTCCTTGCTGCAGGGAATGGGTGGATGTGGGGCAGCCTCAGAGCCAGATCCAGAGGTAAAAATCTCTGGGATCATCTTCTATTTCCAGACATCTTGGGCTGTTCACTGGAGGAAGACTCAGGGGGATACCGGAGAGGTGAGTCAGGCTTCAAGGTTGATGCTCAGATTCAGTATCCAGAACTGTGGCTCAGCTGCAGAACCTGGAGCTGATGCTCTGGTGTGATTTTTGAAGCTGATAACCCTGATGCATAGAGCCCCACTAACACGTCTCTCCTGTCCAGCAACTGTGACCCTGGATCCAGCCACAGCTCACCCCCAAATCCTGGTGTCAGCAGATGGCCGGACTGCAGGCCGCCGGGAATCACCCCCAGCTCCTCTTCCCTCAGGAAAGGAGCGTTTTGAGTCTCTCCGCTGTGTTTTGGGTCGGCAGGGCTTCGTGGGGGGCCGGCACTGCTGGGCTGTGGAGGTTCGTCCTGGTCCCGACTGGGCATTGGGGGTGGCTCGGGAATTCGTGTCTCGTAAGGGCTGCTTTGGTCTCAGCCCTGAGCGTGGAGTTTGGGCTGTGGGGCAGTGGTTGGGGCAGCTGCAGGCTCTCACCTGGCCCAGCCCCACATGTCTGCCCCAAAGCTACACGCTCCGACGCATCAAGGTGGCTCTGGATTACGCCGGTGGGCGGGTGGCTTTCCGCAATGCTGACAGCCAGACCGAAATCTTTACCTTTCCCCCAGCCACTTTTGCCGGTGAGCGACTCCGGCCACTGCTCTGGCTGGGTGAGGGTCCAGCTCTGCTCACCTTCTGCCCCTGAATCCCCCCAAAACCAGCCATGAACCTCCCAAGCACAGACACTTCCACCAACCCAGCAAATCCTGCACTCAATAAACAGCCCCAACTCCCCAACCCCTGACCCATTTCATTTTCCTTATAACACCTAATTTAACAATATTAATCACATTTCACTCCCTTGCTCCTCAGTTGGAGAACAGAGATATTTTTATTTCCCACAGCCCGGAAAAACAGGGAGAACATGCCTAAAGATTTTTGAAAAGCTCGCTTTGAGGCTTTGCTTCTGGATGCCTCGTAATAAGAATTTGCAAGTGGAAACATTTCTGCTTAGGACTTGCAAAGAATTTAAGGGAAATGGGCTAAAACCACCTCTCGTGCCTCCTGGGATCACTATGGCTCATGGTTTTGCCACTGCCACAAAGTGAGCAGAGAGAGAGGCCACAGACAGGATTTTATCCCCCATTTTATCCCCTTGCACTGCCTACAAGTTGAATAGAAGGGGAAAAAATAAACAACCTTGTATCTTGAGGCAGCAGAAAGTTGTTATTAGGGTTAAACCATGTGATAGAGACCTGTTATCAGCAAGCACAGGCAGGACTGGGCAGGTCTCTGCCTCTTACAGCCTCAGTCGCTCCATCTTCACTGCCAGACTTGCCTCCCCATCCACAGACATTCTTGACATCAGACTGAGGAAGAGGAGAAACCACAAGGAAAGGCAGCAGGGAAGGCAGCTGCTTTTATCTTCGGGGCCCTAATTTTAAATAACTGCCTTGACAAACCCACAGGTCACTGCTAAACCCAAATTACAGTCTTGGTCAGTTGTATAATTAGTTGTTTCCCTGTTTGGTTCATGGTGAGGTTGGTTGTGGGTGCTGTCTTCCTTAAAAGACAAGGCCCAGCAATGTGTAAATCAAAGTGCTTCTTTGCAGCATCCTGCTCCAAAAGATGAGCTTCCAACACTCAATTTTATCCACTTTTCATGTGAATAGCTTAATGGATATTTAATTTGAAAGTACATAAAAAATAACGAAACATAAACAACAAAAAAATCTGCTCTTCTGCATAGCTCAGCAGGTCCAGAGATGGCTCTCCAGCATGGAAGGGGGGGAGAGGGTGGTCAGAATCAGTCTCTTTTCACCCAAAGGCAGCTCACCAGCATCCCAACAGCAGTTCCAATGGCAGATTCTTGGGCAGGGAATGTGCACAGCCCTCGCTCCTCGAGCAGAGCCAGCAGATGCACCTCACAGCCCTCCCACGGAACCACCACTGCAGCTCCCAAAACCCTCCCCAGTGACAGAGACACCTCGTACCAGCCCATGAAAAGAGACTTAGGGGGTAGCTGAAGGGCTTTTTTTTTCCACAGGAGTCAAAGGTTTTTCCACAAGGCTGGAGGCCAGGTTGGGAGGTGGATGTGTTTCAGGGGGGTTTGGGGGTTGAGAATGAGTGTTCTTGGGGGTTTTTTATCCATTGCCCCCTGCTTCTCCCCATGCTGCCCCTCTCCCACTAACACTCTCAGAATTCAGACTGGAGTTGGAACGGTGCACCCGAAGGAAGTGTGGCAGGCACAAAGGAGCAAACCTGAGTGAGACTGCAGGGCCTCCGTGAGGATGGGGACATGAAACCTCCCCTGCTCCTCACTGGGGTCCATTTTAACTGAAAAAAGGCGGAATTATGGGCATGGGTTTACAACTATTCAGGTTAATAATTGGCAGGTTTTGGCAGGTGCTTATAAAAACAGGACTCAAAAGGCACTCAAATCAGCAGCTCATAATACCTAGAGGACACCAATTCATGTATATTTTGCCCCAAAATACAGCTCCAGTGCAAACCAGGGGGTGTCAGGGTTTTTGATCCTCTGCTTTTGGGGAGGTTTGCTCCATTTTGGGCCTTTTCCCCAAAGGAGCAGCCAGCATGCTGAGAAACGGTGATTTTCCACCTCGAAGTGGTGCTCACAGGGAAGAAATTCCCAACTTAGGGATGAACTGGTTAAGAAAAGGTGGGCACTGCTGCCTCCAGGAGAAAGTGCTGTTAAGCCACCATCCCCTTTGTTTTTGAGAAAACTGTCACTTCCTAAGTGAAAATAAGAAGTGGAGATGGGCAGGAAACAGCTCCAAAAGTATCCCTAAACCCTCCCAGAATTAACCCAGACCCTGCTTGGGGAGGGGGCATAAATCTGTCCAAGTGTCACCAGTTTGCCCAGTTTCCTCCTCCACTGGCCTTTTCCCCTCTTATTTAATTTATTGTAATAAAATTTCATTGGTTTGTTTCATTTTTTTCCATTTCATAACTTTGTCTGCTCAAAAGAGGTTTTTCTCCCCAAAATGAAGCCAAGCAGGATGTTTCTCCCCCCCAGGTTCCCTCATTGTCCAAAATCCCCTCCAAAAAGCCACATCTGATAGTTTATTTAAGCTAAAAAGAGCCTTTTTTAACAGCTGAATATAGGGGATGAGACCGTATAGTGCATTATAGGGCTTGGGCAGCATGAACAAAGCTGGTATCTGGGCTGAACAAAAGAAATCTGAATTGTGGGTGATTTTTAGTTTTTTTCCCTTTTATTCTGTAAAATAATTTCTCTACTCAGACACGCTTTAGACCTGAATTTCCCCCATGGCAGCATGAGATGTGGTGAAGGAGCACACCAAATCCTCCACATGAAAACACACCAAATCCCAGACAACTGAAAAAAACAAGAAATTGTGATAGACTGAATAAAGAAGCTTGTTAAGCTTGGCGATTTATTGTGTCTCTCATAACTTGGGATTGATGTCTTAAAGTGTTTTCAAGCCAGGTGAGGGAGAAGGCTGATAAGAAGCACATCCTGCGGAAGTGTGGTAATGTTTTTTATCATGCCAATTTCCTCCTTTCCAGTGGGGCACAACTGGCACCACTACACAGTCATGAGAAGCAGGGCCAAACAGCAGTCATGTCATTAGAATGGGCTGTAAACCATTGCTGTCCCCCAAATTGACTTGGACAAGTTATCAGCATGGAAGGGTGCCATGGGGAAGGGCGAAGGTTCAGTGGTGGCAGGGGCAAGGGAGCATGGGGGGCACCCCCCAGGCTGGGTGGTGTGGGAGAACTGGGGGTGTACCCCCAGAATGAAGGCAGGGGGAGGAGTGGGGCCAGGGGACGTCCCCAAGCCAGGTGGAGGGTCTGGGCCTGTCCCCCAACCCATGGGATGTGGGGGGCAAGAGGTGGAGTCCTTGGGGTGCTGGTTGCCCCACACATAGGTGCTGGTGCAGCAGGCTCAGGGTGCCCCTGCAGCAGAACAGAACTGCTCTTTGGCGGGGCTGGGGGTGGGTGGCAGCCCAAGCAGTGCTGCTCCCTCTCCCACCCCGGACCCAGGGGGGCTTTGACATCATCCTCAAGCCCTGGGAATGTAGTGAACAGGTGGGACCCCAGCAGGGGGTGCTCAGAGCCCCAGGATTCCCGTGGAAGGTGCAGTGGCTACCCCACTGTCACCACTGTCCTCACCATCCCTGCCATCTGCTCTGTCCCTCATGTCCCTCCCCTCTGTCCCCCCAGGTGACCGTGCAGCAGGTACAGGAGTTCCTACACCACTCATCCCTCACAGGTCCTCAAGGTGCCCAGTGATGTCATTCTCACCTGTGTCACATTCTCTGGTCCCCTGGGGTCCCTCAGCCACACCCTGTGGTGCTGCCCCCAGGTGGGGACTTTCAGAGGGGTAGGGACTGCCAGGGGTATGGGAACAGTCTGGGGTGGGGATACCTGGGGGGGTTCATCTGTGAGGATAAAGACACCTGGGAGAGATTGAGACAACTATGGGTGGGTTGAGGACAATTACAGGACAGGGTGGATGGGGACATACATGGGGACAAGGACCTCTGGGGTCTGCCTGGGGACCCAGGGAGGTCAGGGACCCCCAAGGAACTCCCCCAGACTCAGTTCCTGAGGGGTTGTGCTGAGGGGCAGAGTGGGGCAGAACTGGGGGTTGGGCAAACGGGGATTGGATGGACATCATTATAAAACTATAGAACCTGTGTCAAACCTGTGGTTTGAATTCCTGGGGCCTGGAGGCTCATTAAAGCTTCTGCTCATCTTATCTCCAACCTAAATTGTCCTGGAGTCTTTTTTCCTCCTCAATCTTTTAGGCAACATTGGCTTTGCAGCAGTGTTATTTTTCCCCAATTTCATTTGAACCTATTGCCTCCAGAACGTCTCTGAAAACTTCATATCTTTTTCTGAATTTGCATCAGCCAAAATCTTAGTCATCAAAACCTCCTCTCCACACTTACCAGAAGTCCTTCTTTCCATGGTTGAGCCCTGAGAGGCCAGGTCTCTGCCTGGGATGACATCTCCTCTCCATATAGTTCTGGCTGCAGGGCACCTCCAGGAGGGAGGACAGACTTGCCAGCATCCCATCCCCTGGCTCCATCCTCTAGGAAGACTACTGCAGCTTCTGTAAGCAAAAGGACATGGGGCCAGGCTCCCAGCCTTCTCAGGATCCCTGACAGGATCATCCTGGCTTCTCCAGGTTCCCAGGAGGGTTGCATTGGAGGATGGGAGGCCAGCTGGAAATCTGTAGGCAGAGAGCTACTGGGGTGGGGGGCCACAGCAGCAGTTGGAGAGGAGATGTGAGAGCAGGATAAGGCATGGTGCTGTGGCCCCATGGGGTCCGTGATTCCACTCTTGAACCAGCAGGAGTGAGCTGGAGCATCTCCAAGTGGTCTGGGAGCCAGAGTGCTCCTTCCTGACCTCTTCTCTTGGGACATTGCATTTACAGTGGGAATGCAGTGTGAATCTGGTCTCTACAGCAGGCTTGAAATCCTTTAATCTGTTAATGTCTTCATGCTTTTAGGCACCATGATTTTATGGCAACATCAATCACTGCCTGTCAAACATAGGTGTCGGGATAAAGAAGTTCATTCTTCCCCTGGACGACGGTTGAGGACAGAGATACAACCATCGTGAGCCAAGCCCTGATGCAGAAAACATGTACACAAGGAGCAGAGGGTTATGGAGCTGGGCATGGGGCCACTGCAAAACGGGCAGGTCATCCACCCCTGACCTGCAATCCCGTGTGTTGTCTGAGTTCCTTGGGGGTCCCTGACCTCCCTGGGTTCCCTGTAGTACCTGGCCAGCTTTGCGGTGGCGGCTCTGAGGCAGGGGGTGAGAGGGTAGTTTTGAAATCAATCTTGCTTAGAAAATTCCAAACAACAACAGCTTAAATTTTTTTTATTAACTTGGAAAGAAATCCCTTTTCTTTGGGCAGCTGTCCCAGCCCAGGTGCTGGCTGTCCAGGTGCTTCATCTGGGGGGACTGGATTTGCAGCAAATGCCATGGTGCCTGGGGTCAGTGGTGGGGGTCCGAGGCTGGCCGTTGCTCTAGTAAGGTTGTAGGGCCTGAGGCCAAGGGACAGGGATGAGCCCCCCTGCAGCCCAGGGGCAGCCCTGGCTGGGGGCAGCTCTGCCAGCCCAGGACAGGACAGGCAGCAGGGGCACCTGCCTGGCCAGAGACCCTGCAGGACAGAGTGCTGGCCCCTGCTCTCCAGAAGACAGACTGTTGTCCCACACTGGCCAGGGCCATCCCTACACTGCCCTTCAGCTCAAACACCCGCATCCACCATCCATCCTGTGTCTGCCCCTCCTCAGCCCACCTCAGACCACAGTTCCACCTACTCAGCCATGCACACAGAGCCCTGCTCACCCACTGCTCGCAAACAGCTGGAGCTCACCCCCCCCTTCCCCAGTGCCCTCACAGGGCCATACCCAGCTTGTGCTGTGCCCTCACTGCCACCTTAGACCTGTGCTCCTGTCTGTGATTGATGCAGCCATCTGCGCCCAGCAGCTCGGTCACACCAGGCTGGGAAGGAGAGAGTGGCTGGCTGCAATGCTGCAATTCAGCATCCCCAAGTAGCCTTCCCCATGCAGCTTTCCCTGAGGAAACTGAGGCACGAATCCCCACAGATGCTGAGCATCTCCCTCCCAGCCTCGGTGCTCCCTGACGTATCCTTCCCTTTGCCATCCCTACCTTTTTGGAGAGCCACAGGGCATCCTTGAGCTGTGCATTGGATGTGTACTGGCCCCTGTCGCTCTGCAACTTGAGGTGGGACCTGCCACTGGGCAGCTTCCTGGGGGCCAGGGCACAGGAATCATCAGTGCCCAGCTCTGTGGTACCCTGAGCTTCATCCCACAGTGACAGAGATGGGATGCTCCCCATTGGGCATGTCCCTCCCGACTCCCCTACAACTGCTGCAGGAGACCTATGCCTGTCCCACTGTGCTGAATCAACCCCCACCAAGCCTGAGGTCAGGCTGAGATCAGATACAACTGATGACATGTGGCACTAGTGCCACTGAGACCAAGGCTGGATGGGGCAGCGCAGCAGGAGCTCTA